TAAATTTTACATTTCATTGTCATCTTATTCGCATAGATATTTTTAAATCTTCTTTGTTTTTGTTTTTTCTTTTTTTCATTATATCTCTTAAGTAACACATTGTCTTTTTTTTTATATATATATGTATGCGATCGAGGGTACAAAAGATAAAAAATAAGATGGAATAAAAAGAGGAGAAGAAAAAGGAGAAGGAGGAAGAGGATGAGGAAGAGGAGTAGGGTGAAGAAGAAAAATGAGAATCAAAATATTCGAAAAAAAAAAAAATCAAAATTACATTGTAAGTGCATAGAAATTGATTGTTCGTAAATATTTATTTGTTAGACAAGAATAGTTGGACTCGTCCAAAAGCAAAAATAATAAACAAAAAGGAAATATTGTCTAATTAATCATTAAACGTTGTCCTTGAATTTTTTATTTTTATTTCCTTTTAATTATTATTACCTCAGATCCTTTCTCATTAAAAATCGTCATTCCCAAAGTGCATCTTATATTCAATTATTATATTATTTTATATAAGGTATTTGTAATTAATTGTTATTAATTAGTTTTAATAATACTCATGAAGATTCGTTATTGACTCATACAGGAAAGAAAATCTAATACTGAGAAATGCACGTTTTACTTTATTCTCCGAACGATTCCTCTTTTTATTTTCTTGATCCGCAAACGATTATGCAATCGCATAATTTTCATATAAATATATATTCTTAGGCATTTTTCCTGATGTTATAATTAAAAAACAAAAACAACTTTTTTATCACCGAAAAAAAAAGGAATAATAATACAAATTTGCAATAAATCCACATCTATACGGTACAAATCAATCTTTACATTGGTAAGTACGTAAGATTATTATTAATAACACATTTCTATCGGATATCGTTGATCTAATTTCTGTTTATCGGTTAAAAAATATCAATATTCAAAAGTATCTACTTGCGATTTCGAATCGATTAATTAACGAGATTAAATTGATTTATTTTTTGATTGGTGAATGAATCCTATCATTTGAAAATATCAGGTTTGATTTTTATTAAGATATTAATAATTAAAAATTAATGAAAAATAATGTATTAAATAATTGAATCAATGCAAATAATTTACTAATTTATTAATTAAATTTCACACCACACAAGAGAGAGAAATTTGTTCGACTTTACTCGAATTCTAAATAAATCTTGAATTTTAAATTATTCGTTCTCTTTCATAAATGTTTCGTAAAGAATTTTGTACAATTTATCCCTTTTAAAATTAGTCTCTTATCTTCAGTTAATGAACGATTACTCAGTTCTTAATTTGTATGTTTTTACGAGAAATTTCTTGAAGATTAAATCTTCTCTCATTTAATTTTTGTATAAAAGGAAATGAAAATGTATTTTCCTCGACTCAATTCTTTATTACCTTTTAATAGTTCTGATTAATTTGTTATGAAGAAATAAATGACTCGACAACGCGGATATCATTTACACTATTGTCGGTTTAGTTTTTATCTTTGGATTTTATCCGAAAAACGTTAATAATCATGTTTGAAAATTATTCCAATCTATTTATTCGTATTTTTAAATATTGAAACGTTTACGTTTCAATGGATTTCCAAGTATTGGAAAATTTTCATGAGCTGTTCAGATAATATTTGTTAATCTTATCTTTTTCAGTTTCCATTTTACGAGATTAATAGGGTCCGTTCCCTCTTTACATTCGTTAAACAATTATCTTTACAAATATAAATTCGTGCTCAAACCAAAATTAATCTAATATAAACACAATTTCTTTTCAAAATGATTTTTAAAGAGTTTTCGAAAAAGCAACCTGTGAAAAATGGAAGATTAATTTATATTAAATTACGTTACTTATAATTATCTCATTAATAAACATAAAATCATAATAATAATATTGCGAGTTATAAAAAAGGATTTATAAAACTTGGTAAGCAATATTATAACGTATTCGTTATCGTCAAGACTTATAAACGTTGTTTCTATAACAGAGAAAACGAAAGGAAAAAAAAAAGAAAAAGAGAGAGAGAGAGAGATGAAAAAAAGATTCTCCGTTATCAGTGATAATCGACTCACTTACGATTCTGTAAAATACTCTAGATTAAAACTGTTTATTACGAAGTTTCGTGACAAAAGCAATTAGTATTATTTATCTTCTTCGTGTTTCTTAAAAGATGATTGCTTATGAAAATAAACAACGTCGATGCATTTCTATCTTGGTTCTTCTTCTTCTCTTTTTCTCAATTTCAAATTTAATTTGTTAACTATAATATAAAATAATCGCAATTTCATTTGTTCTTTTTTTTATTCTTCTTCTTTTTTCATCGTCTATAAATGTTGAAGTCAAATGGAAAAAAAAAAAAAAGAAAAGAGAAAAGGAAGAAAAAAAAACTCAAAAAGATAATAAAAAAAGGTGTATGCACAAATGATCGCGATAAAGATGAACATTATTTTTAAGAAAGGTATCATTTGTAATGCACGTGAAATCAATGTAAATGCTTTTTTAATCGGGATTCCCTTATCTTTTTCCATTGACGATGTTTACGTCACGATAGACGCGTAAATCCCAACCTTCCTTTCGATATACATACACGCAAACAAACCCATCCATCCATCCATCCATCCATCCAACCAACCATACTTACTAACTTACTTACATCCACACAGATATGGAATGCCAATCGTATTCTCCAATAAAGTTGTCTGACGATGTATTGCAGTAACACGAGTACCGAGATCTGAAGAATATATTTATTTATGTAACGCCAAGAGAAAAATTCTCAAGTAAGTATATGTAATAGTGACCAATACGTAGGTGAATATTAAATGCACGTTTTTCTATACTTATGTGTTAGTATATAATACGTCACACATCTGTACTTCTATTACGTACGAACTCGAATTTCAATGTCATCGATTTATATCTCACGTTTCTTTTTCTATTTTTAATGATTTCTTTTATTTCATGATACACGCTTCTTTTAATACTTTTATAATTATTGTTATTGTCACATTATTATTATTATTATTATTGTTATTAGGTATTCTCGGTTTTTCCTTTTTCTTTCTTTTATTTTTTTATAGTGTATATTGTTTTTCATCCACAAAATACGCGTTTCGCAAAATATCATTCTATGTTATTTTTCAACGATACTTATCGTTAATATTATAATGATCTAACGTATCCCCGTAGTATTTATAGTTATATTTCCTTGTTCTAAAAGAAGATAAAAAGAGAATACAAGGTAAGAAGTTACAAAAATATTCTACCTCGCGACTAAATTATTACAACAGGGTCACAAATGTGTGACAAGGAAAACGTGTATTAGTGAATATTTTCAACATTATTTAAATATTACTTTTTAATATTTCTTTTCTCACGGACAATGGAACATTAAGATAATACACATGTTTCGTTATCATGTAAATGTTTGAAATTTTCAAAATTATTATCTATCTACTAATACTTTCTTTAATCCCATAAAGATATTACAATTCGTTAGAATTAAATCCGATAAGACGTAAGCACTTAAGAAAATCTAAGAATTCATTATTGCATAGTTTCATCTATTTACCTTTTTTATACAAAACAAAGAGATCCAAATCTTTTAATAATTATTTGATAATAATATAACGATGACGAAACCGAAATAGAAACGAAAACAAATCTTAAGTATAGTCATGAAAATTTGGTATATATGAAAATAATAAATTTTCAACGAAATTTGACTTGCGACAGATTATTCTACTAAAAAACAAAAAAAAGAATTAAAAAATACACGTTCTATAAAATCATTAATCCAGTCTTATAAAAATTAATATTGCTACATACAAATAATTCATTATAATAATTTATATTTATTTATTTATTTATATTCGTACGTTCTCAAAGATACACAACACAAATACATTGAATTAAAATGCAATATTATTTCTAGAACATGATCGAATTGTAATATCGATCTGCAATTGGCAAAGAATAAATAAGATCGTTTATAAATCGTCACACGCATACACGTACAGACATTTACTATATGTGAATAATTGGAAGGTCACGTTGTAGAAGAAGATTGTAAGTATGTATCTCTTTCGAACGTTTAAAAGATTCCATCGAGAGTCAAGGAAGTTTGAGAAGTGTGGGGGAGGGTGGGAAGGAATAAGGGTTGAGAGAGAGAGAGAGAGAGAGAAAAGAAGAAAGAAGAAACAAAAAGAAAAGAAATGAGTTTGTGTAATGTCGATCATTTGACCCGGAACGCGGAATAGTACGGGTCAATGGGCATGAGAGAGTATGTATGTTAACAAAGTATAAAAAGGGAGGGAAAGGGGTGGGAGGGGAGTTTGAGAGTTTCTAAATGGAGAGGGAAATTGAAGAATGACGATGACAATGACTTATGTTAGATGACGAACAGTAAGTTGCAACCAAGTAGGGATAATTTCATTCCATGTTTTAATTCTTACCGACTATACAACGTAGAAAATATTTTCTAC